ATGATAGCAGGTCACGGTGTAAGCAGACTCATGCTATTGCTCATGGAGGGCTTGCGCATGCATGCATGTCCGTGATAAGAAGCTTTAGAGGAGATACATACATACTCCTACATGTATCTGATCTTTCATTGAACAACAATAATATGTGCTGGCCGGTATTGATCTCTGTGGTGTCATTGCGTCTTTCTTAGGGTAGTCTAATGCAGAAACCATATAGTACAGTTTCTATATCATAAAAACATTTGTATAAGTGTGCTCGGATAAAAATCTAGTCAATCATTCATCCCTCGTTCGCTCTTCCATGGGCTATCTATCTTCTCCTAGTCCTTTCCCACCTTAGATAAAGCACTGGCACTGGCGGGCGAGCTCTGTTGGCGGCCAGCAGTGAGCGGCTCTCGCGCGGCCAATGGGGAGTGAATCGGACATGGCCTGCGGCGAGTGGCCGGCGCCTAGGGGCAGCAGCGCGCAGGGCCTACGAGCGGCGACTGCAGGGGGGCTTGTACTCACGCGAGCAAGGACACGGGTGGCTAGTGTAGACCTAAGCGAATTGAGCCTGGTCCGGCCCAAGCCCACTAGGTTTTGGCCCACCCACGAGTTTTAGTGGACAGGGCCTGTTACCTAGAAATTTTTTTCTCGGTCCGAGCCTGGTCAGTAATATTTATTTTAACTATTTTACACTGCTCATAGTGCGGTGGTCTGCCCAATCCTAGGCCCAGTCTAAGCCCGACCTGAAAAATCAAGCCCGACAATTAAAAAAAAAACAAAAATCAAGCCCGACTACTTAATAGAACAGTCATGGGTGGAATATTTTTATTTGCCCGAAACAACCAGGCTTTTTTCAGCCCAGCCAGACCAAACGCAACCTATAAAATGCTCAGGTCTAGGCTAGTGCTCGGCAACAACGAGCTGCGGCGGTGCGGGCCAGACAAAGCACGGACATAAAGATAATATTTTATATAAATTGACCTAATAGTTGGTCAGAATGTGGAGGGTAATATGGGCAATAGAATCCTTCGACCAGCTAAAATCTCAAGTTAGAATCCAAAGATTCAAACGGGCTAGGTTCAAACAGTTTTTTTTTAGCAAGCTAGATTCAATCAAACAGTAATAAAGCCATCCTCCATCTGTCCCTAACAGCGTCCTAGGATGGGCTTTGCAGTCTGATTCGGACCGGACGCATCACGCATGTTACCTGAAGGCTGGCCTAGTTGCGCAAGGCCCATGCTTTCTTTCACTTCGCCTGAACATTGGTATAGCTTTGCCTCGGCCTAGTTGCGCCCGTGTGAAGAAGAAGCATGTGGTGACAGACTGGCAGTGCACGCATTCTGGCCCAGTTGTAACATGTCGTTTTTTTCTCCTATTTCTTTCTTTTCATTTTTCATCTTTTCCATCTTTCCTATCCCGTTTTATTTTTTTTCCTTCCAAATGCTTTAGTAGACATTTTCTCTCTAATTTGTAGGTCTCATTTGTTTTGTAATTTAAGTCGTTCATCTTATTTGCATTTTTTTATTTTTCAGTTTGTATGCACAAATATAAATGCTGGAAATTCACGTTAGATTGGGGGGGCAGGAATAAGAGAAAAGAAAATGATCTTAAAGGAAATATTTTTTTCTTTGACACGGGTAAAAGCGAGCCTTGGGCTTTGGCGTGTAGGTTGGCCTCTGTTCTCTGGGCTTAACTCCACATATTGACTGGCTTAAGTAGGGTTTTTTTTTAGCAGAGACTGCCTTAGGTAGTTGAGCCTTATCTAACAACTAATGAGCCGTTGTCGGACTGCAGAAAAAATACAAATTGAAATTTGGTACCGATTGATTTGTGACCTTACGATGTGCATATTTACTTGGATTTTTTCCAAGAAAGAAAGTAAATTCCCTAGGAAACCAAATAATAGGTGACATGTGAGTCCAGGTAATCCCCAGAAAATGTGAGCAACACGCAGGATAGAACACACAGGATAGACGTCCCGTTCGCTTGGCTTATATGCCGTACTTTTTCAGCCAACGAACAGTATTTTTCTCTCACAGCAAATCAGCCAACAGTACTTTCAGTCATGGCTTATCCGCCAAGCGAACAGGACGTGAATGAAAATAATCAATGGTAAAGAATGAAAAATAGCCGATGCCTGCAAACTGCAGTAGCCTTCTTCAGCTTTTACGGCATATAAACACTAGCGTCAGCAGCGCTGCAAGTTTCGCAAGAGCTTGTGTGTAAAACAGAGAGATGCCAAATACCACCCCTCTGTCTCAAATTATAGGTCATTTTAGCTTTTCTAGGTACATAGCTTTGTGAAGAGCGAGATGCTGATGAGTGCATTCCAACAAAATATGGGCTGTCTAGATTGCATCAAGCTCCATAAGTCAGCCACGATGCCATCCTAGATACATATGTAATGGCCGGACTCGAATGACCATAGTAAGAGGTTCATTCAGAACTGCAATTGTACGTTAGATAACCTTAAGACCCACATCACTGGGTCATGAGTTAACTCTACAGACAAACTACTGCAGAGCTAGATACTATTTAGTTACTCAGGCCTTCGTTTTTCATGTACACCCAACTTCAGTACAACTCCGGATCCAACAGTTAAAAGTCACTTGGATGAAAAGCTCAGAAATTCGATGGAGGGTTTAGATGAATGGTTCTACTTAAGTTGTACCCAAAAGCATTTCCCATTCTCGATGGAGGGTTTAGATGAATGGTTCTACTTAAGTTGTACCCAAAAGCATTTCCCATTCTCTGTCTGTTCTACAGCTTTCTCAGCAACATGTTCTTATTACACATCGTCCATGTGAGATCAAACTAAAACCTGTAGAAACAAGAAAACTCATTAAATATTTCTGAAACTTGGAAACAAAACAAAGGTCCAACAAATAAATAATGTCAAGAAGCTGATCCGGTTCCTCCGGTTCCTGAACCTCAAAAGAGCTACTGAAACTAGTTCTAGATCCTGATTCCTCAAAGTAGTCATCCACTTTGATCACAGGGGTACTAAAACATGCTGAGAGATTTAGAAATGACAATTGACAATGCAAGAGGATCGACTCCCATTTCCAATAATAACACCTTCACAAAATTCAGAACCACCTCAAGCACTTGATCCCAAAAAAGAAAAAAAAAACAATCCTCATCAAAGCCCTTCTGATTTTTTTTAGTTGGAAAAGGATAATGCTAGTGTACATGTAAACCTTCCTGACACAATTAGCTATGTTTATTACCAATGCAGTTTTGCTTACTTATCCAGCGGTTTCCAAGTGTTCTCAAGGGTTTTATTAGGTTGTTTTGTGCCCAAACTAGCCATACTGAAATTTGGCAATAATAATTCTGTTAAGATTTCATTACCCTACTACACACACATTAGTGAAGACTTCAATGAATGCCTCGCCGTACCATTCCCTGTTTACCATTTCCAGCTTTATGTACACTTCCACACTCGTGTTGTTACCACCACCACAGATAGGAAACCAGCTAAGGAGTGGCCACTGGCCAGAGACCACCTGTAGCTGCCCAATCCGGTCACTTCCTCACCGACGTGACAAACCCCTAGCAAGTTCACCAGTGTTTAAGACTGCAAACAGCCTCCCAATCTTGAAAATTTTTTGTTAGGCTGCTCCTGCTCTGGCAGCTTGACCTATTTCATCAGCTTTTCATAACAGATACTTGTCCAACAACACCTCCCTCTTGGGGGACAACACCTCCCTCTTGGGGGATGTTCACATTATAGGTGAAGCAGTATTTTCTAAAAAATTATCACTAGCAGTTACAAATAGTAGAAGGATTCACAGAAGCAAAACAGATTTTAACTGCTACTTTAAGGTTCTGTTCAATCTATGACTGTTTTTTATCCAATAGGATCCCCTTTGTTAGCAACACACAAGCTAAACTTGACTGCCATCTCTTGCCTGTATAATTTCTGGACCCCCTAATTATTGCATTTGGTGGCCCACTCCTGATAAGCATAATTCGAACTAACAGCCAAATAATCAGAATTTGTTTAGTATTACTACTAATGTTTTGGGATAAAAAGGATCCTTTAATTTGCAAAAGGATAATGCTAATATACATGTAAACCTTGCTTCCCAACACAGAAGAGGTTTACATGGCATATTCACTTCTCTAAATTTCCAGATATTTTCAAGAGGTTTATTCCCAAACTAGCCATACCCTATACCCAAATTTAGCAGAAAAAAATTGATTAAGGTTCTTATTGCAATATTGCACACAAATTTATTACATAGCAGATCAGTATTGGTGGATTGGTCGAAGATAATTCTGACAGTCACCTTTGTCACTAACAGGTTTGTCCCTGTGGCAGGAGGCTCAGACAGTGCTGATCCTTTAGAGAACTTTGATCTAATTTTTCTTGATCCCTAAACAAAGACTAGGGTACATTTATATCATCTAGGTAAATTAAGAAACTAGGAAATAGGCAACAGACTAGGAGTCTAAGACTAAACTTTTCCTAACACTAACCAACTAGATAACATCACTAAACTAACATCTCTCTTTCCACAACACATTAGCTAAGAATTCAATGAATTCCTCACCACAGCAATATACCATCCTTGTTGCCTCATTCCAGCTTTTTGTGCAAGTTTAACAAAGAAATCTTTCATAGTTTTACTTCAAAGTTCAAAAGGTAATTTTATCACATATAGCATGCCCTGTCCCTTTATCAAATTAGTTACTCCACCTGGAACTAAGCTTCAAACCACTGAGTCTGGATAGGGCTATCAAAACATGATCAGGACACCTATATCAAACATAAAATTATAAGCCAGCGCATGATAATTTGAAGCATTCTAGGACTCCCAGATGAGAGTAAGACGCCTAAACCGAATTACTCTTGCTGCAAGCTGAACGATCAAGTACAAGAATTTGAAAAATATTTTGCCACCTTTAAGATCATTTACAGGGCAGAAACAAAAGAGATTCTACCGATATACAGTGGTAAACACTTGGTGTATAGCCATAAGCACATGGTATCTCGAGAAAGAGCATATTTACCTGAAAGGATATACCTTCATTGCCCTGCTCATAGACACTTTACGCACAGCAACCCGGTGGTGCCTTCTTCTGAAACAAGGCTCATGTTCTTTGGTCACAGATGATGTGGCCCTTTCATTTTCCCCTTTGTTGAGAAAATGGACATTGGAAGCTGGCCTCTTATTGCCTTCATTCATGGAGTCAACATAATGTGGAACATCTGTTCTTTTGCAGCTGCTTTTACCTGTGCACCCAGCTATCTGAGGTTCCTCCTTGTCACCTATCTGTGTCATCACTTCTTTGTCTGAAGACTTATCTTTTCCCATGGACTCAGCACAAGGTGGAATAGCTGGTTTATTGTTGATGCTTCCTTCACTGCACACACCAGATGTCCATTGTTCCTTCTGGCCACCAGAGAGTTTTACCAATAAACCATGTGAGGAATCATCCAAATTATACAGCAAGGGGGCACTGTCCAATTTTGCTTGCTCAATCATACTGCTCTTTTTCTCAGACACAAACTTAGGTGTGGGGCTAACAAAATGGGAAAGATTGTCATCACAGTTCACATCGATGTTTCTGTCAGCTTCATCTTCCTCCCTAAACCGTTTCTTCCCTCTTGGCTCCATGATGATGTCTTTTTGTTGATCCCCAGCACGATCATTCCCTTTGTCTTCTGCTACACCAAGATCTGAACTTTCTTGGGGCATGGTAGTTCTACCTTCACTGTGAGCTGAAGCATGCTCAGCACCATCATGAAATTTGTCCTGTTGGTCCATTGGTAGAGTGTCACTACCTCCTGCTGCTAAATCAGAATCTGAACCTTCCTGAGGCATGGTGATTCCATCTTCAAGGTGACCAGAAGCATGCTCAGCACATCCCTGAAGTTTGTCCTCCTGGTTTGGCAGTGGGCGGTTATTGGTGCCTGTTGCTAAATCAAAATGTGAACTTTCCTGAGGCATGGTGATTCCATCTTCGAGCTGAACAGAAGCATGTTCAGCACATCCCTGAAGTTTGTCCTCCTGGTTTGGCAGTGGGCTGTTATTGGTGCCTGTTGTTAAATCAAAATGTGAACTTTCTTGAGGCATGGTTGTTCCATCTTCGAGCTGAACAGAGGCATGCTCAGCACATCCTTGAAGTTTGTCCTCCTGGTTTGGCAGTGGGTGTTATTGGTGCCTGTGGCTAAATCAAAATGTGAACTTTCTTGGGGCATGGTGATTCCATCTTCGAGCTGAACAGAGGCATGCTCAACACATCCCTGAAGTTTGTTCTCTTGGTTTGTCAGTGAGGTGTCACTGTCACCTGTGGCTAAATCACAATGTGAACTTTCTTGAGACATGCCAATTCCATCTTCGAGTTGGCGAGAGACATGCTCAATACATTCCTGAGGCTTGTCCTCCTGGTTTGCCAGTGGGGTGCCAGTGCCGCTGTCGCCAATGGCTAAATCAATATTTGAACTTTCTTGAGGCATAGTAATTCCATCTTCGTGCTGACATAAAGCATGCTCAACAACTTTATCCTGCTGGTTCTTCAGCTGTCGGATGTCACTGACGCCATTGCCTGAGGCATGATTGCCACCTCCTGGTGCCTCTGCAGGAGGTAACATGTACTGCAAGGAGTCCTCAGCGACGACTGAATGGCCCGCATTTGGTTCAGCATCAGCAGTTCCACACTTGGCATCCTTGCAAGCAGGTGGATGAGGACGAAGCTCGTGAGCCTCAACCAGGAGGCGCCTTGGCCCCTTGACCCACTCGAAAGCAGCTTCCACGACCACGGAATCAGTGAGCTGAAACCAGGAACCATCCAGCTCAATCTGCGAAATGAAACAGTGCCAATAGATGAAGCCAAAAGAAACGAAATTTTCCACAACGGGGCAACCAAAACAAAATTAGCGGCTAAAGATTAATCTTTTGACACCCGCATTGTTATTCCGGCACCATACCTGCAAGGATGAGACGGCGATTGGCCCGGTGCAGGGGAAACACGCGGCATGCTCCGCGCTCACTTGGCCTGCGGGTTCAATTTGGGGTTCAGGGTGTCAGTTCGTGTGTTTTTTTTCCCAGCGATGCCGCACAAATCAGGAGGAATGCAGAGGTAAAGGGATCGATTTGCAACAGAATCGCCATAAACAAGAAGCGAGGGGAAAAAGGCGGATTTTTTTCTCTAGATGGGGAGAGTGAGGAGAAAGGGGAGGAAGATGGAGAGGCACGCACGCTTGAGGTCGGCGACGGTGGTGGCGCGGGCGGGGAAGGAGAGGACGAGGCGGGTGCCGAGGCTCGTCTCCATGAAGACCGTCGCCGTCTCGGCGGCGGCCATCGCCGACGCGGACACGAGGCAGGGTCGGTTTCCCCTGCGCGGCACGAATCGCCGCTTCCCTGGTCGGCGGAGAAAACCCCAAGGTTCGCTGTTTACAGGTGTGCTGCTGCAGGCAAACCTCCGTTTGACTAGTTGGACAATTTTTTTTTTTTTTGAGCAAAGTTCACTGGCGGTGCTTAAAACTTGTGTGAGTGTGTCATCCCAATCCCTAAACTCTCAAAACACTCATTTGGGTTCCTAATCTCTTATCAGGTCTCAATCCCATCCAAACTGGTCAATTCCCTCTCTCTGCCCCCGTTTCCCGAGCTCCCTCCGTCATCTCTCTTCCCAAACAGAGCAGCGGCGCACGTTGGCACGTGGGCTGCGGCAGCGCGGCGAGCAGCGCTCTGCATGCGGGGGAGGGGGTTGTGGCAAGCAGCACGCGAGGGTGGCGGCGACGGCGCGCGTGCTCCTCGGCTCGATACCCGGCCATGCGCACGACAGAGGGAGAAGCCGAGCCTGAGCGTGGCCTAATCGAGGATGAAGATGACGGTGCTCCCCCGACCATCTTGAGGATGGCGACGCTATCCTTGATGCGGATGTAAGACAGGAGCTGGGTGACCAAGTCAAAAGTGCGTGTGATGGTGCTGTCGGCGAGCAAGCAGCCGCTTGTCAGCCGAACTGCTGAAGCCGGCTAACTGAACTCAAGTTCAGTTACGACCTTCTCTGTTTTTTAGAAAGGCATTACGACCTTCTCTGTTATTCAGCAATTTACTCCCAATTTTGTATGTAATCAACCTGATAAGCCTTAATAAAACTTATTCAATGGGCTATGATCTACAACATTGTTTTAAGAACTAAGGTCTAATTTTTACTGGTTTGGAAGATCTAAAGCCTCAAAGTTTGACAAAAATTCTGCATACCAAGCGTCAGTTTCAGAGTTGCAATTCAGTTTAGGAGGACAAACTGGAACGCGACATCCACGAGCGGCAGGAACACGAGGCCGAGGTCTGCAGGACCGGGCCGGCGAGCGGGCGTCAGGAGAGAGAGGATGGAGATGCGCCGGCAGCGGCACGGGCGACCTCTTCCAGCAGGGACGAATCCACGCGATGAACTGGGCCTGCTGCTTCCCGATGAACAGCTCAACCAACCGCCAGGACGCCTCTGCGTCGTCCATCCCCAGCTTCCCCGGCGACGCCGTCCTCGTCGTACGGCCCGCTGCTGCGCCGCCGCTGGTCTTCTCCAACATGCCTCGCTGCTGGGGCTGGACGCGCACCACCGTCTTCACGTGCACCCACGAACACCTCTAGACTCTGGCGGCTCCTCCTACCCGGTGGTCGGTGGTGGCAGCAGCGTTGGGCCCAGGAACAGGTACTGCAGGGCTTCAACGTCATCGGAATTTGGCGAGCTGGATGGGTTCGCGGAGGAGGAGGTGTATGAGGCGGCTACGTCGAGTCGGAAGAGCACGGCGAGGCTGATCACGATGACGTTGGCATCGGCGGCTTGGGTGGGCATGCGCCGGCGTGGTGACAAGTCTGAGAGGAGGACGCGGGTACCGGGTCAAAGACCGTTTGGATGGGTAAACGAGACCCAAATCAAGTCTATGAACCTATATGACCATTCTGTAAATTTAAGGACCGGGATGACACACTCACACAAGTTTAAGGACCGCTGGTGTACTTAACTCTTTTTTTTTATTGAATCTGACTAGTTGCGCTTACTATATGGACAGTACTACCGGTGCTGGTGCCCCTGGTTTTCATTTGGGAAAATTGGTTCTATAACATCGAAAGACAGTAAGAATCGGAAAATACCATCAAAAGAGTCATGTTACGTAAAATACCATTGAGAGATGAAAACGTTACCTGAGAATAGCATTTCGTCATGTTGTCACGTTTGGAGGTAACGGCGTCCACTTCCCAGTGGGGGGCGCCCGCGTCGCATGGAAGCCATGGACGTCAAGTACAAGCCCGTCATGTTCCCCAATGGCGCCGCCCTCAAGAAGCAGGTGAAGCCGGCGGCCGTGGCGCCGGCCGGGGCCGGGGGGGGAGCCGCTGTACCGGGAGTGCCTCAAGAACCACGCCGCGAGCCTGGGCGGGCACGCCGTGGACGGGTGCGACGAGTTCATGCCCTCGCCAGGGGCCAACTCGGCCGACCCGACGTTGCTCAAGTGCGCCATGTGCGGGTGCCACCGCAATTTCCACCGCCGGACGGTGGAGTGTTCCCCGCCTACGCTTGCGCCGTTGGCGCTCCCGGCGCCGCCGCCACCGAAGCGTCTTTGCCACGCCCACCACAAGGGGGGAGGAGACACCCGAGACCGCCACCACCACCCGGGGTCGTCGACGCCGATGACTCGATTCCGACTTCGGAGGGCTCGAGTCTGACGAGGCGGTTGGTGTCCCCACCCCGCCGCACGCACCACATCACATGCACCGGTGGCGCAACAACCCCACCGCCGCCGTCGTGCCACGGCGGCGCCGCACATGTTGCTCTCGCTATTCGCTCGCGGCGCCGGGGCTCTGCGGTGGCGGCCGCGGTCAGAGGTACAGTGCCCCACCGCCCAGCGGCAATGACGCCGTCGAGCACGCCGCCCACCGTAGCTGCGATGCCGATGCCTGAAGCGGTTCGGCACCAAGTTCACCGCCGAGAAGAAGTAGCGGATCACGGAGGGCTGTCGGGCGGGCTGCGAAGCGCGACGAGGCCATCGTCGACGAGTGGTGCCGCAACATCGCCGGCGTCGGCAAGGGTGTCTTCAAGGTCTGGATGCACAACAACAAGCACAACTTCTTGGGCTGCCCGCAGCAGCCCCCGCCTCCGCAGCGCGCCGTGGTCGCTATAAACCCCAACCCGGTAGCGCCACAGCACCGTCCGCATTCAACCCGTCTAGGATCACCCTCCCCTCCCGTCCTCACCTCGTCCCCGACCAGCGCCACAAGCTTCAACATCAACGGTGCCGCCTCCTCGGCGCCCACCGTCATCGCCGACCACACACGGACAACGCCAAAGGAGCTTCATCGCCACACGGTCGCTTAAACTAGAGAAGAGAGAAGAGAGGAATGGAGAAGGGAAGTGGACGTCGTTACCTCCAAACGTGACAACATGATGAAATGCTATTCTCAGGTAACGTTTTCATCTTTCAATGGTATTTTACGTAACAGAACTCTTTTGATGGTATTTTCCGATTCTTGCCATCTTTCAATGCTATAGAACTAATTTTTCCTTTTCATTTCTGTCTGGTAAACCAACCTCTTGGAAACTATCAATCAGGGTCACTAGATGCAGATCCAATAGATAAGGTGAGAGTTGGGATTTTTTAACGCTTAAGCCCCCACCACCGCCTTTTTTTTTTTTTGTGCTTAAGCCCTCACCCTATCTATTGGATCAAGATCTAGTGGTCCTGATCGGTAGTTTTCAAATTTGTACTGGTTGGTTGGTTTGCACCTGATATGTTACATGTCTGTCTTTTCTGATAACGAGGATTCCATCCTAAAATTGAGATATTTAAATATTTATTATAATTTATTTAAAATATAAAATATTTAGGTGAATAATTTTTTTTAAATACCAATCATACATATAACTATCATAAGTGTCAACCATTTAAAATATAGTAAGCACGAGATTTTTTCATAGTTAAGCGTGGGCTACATGAGGTATTTGGTTTATGCAATGATTTGTCCTAAAATTTCTAGGATACTGACCCCATCATTTTTTGAATTTTGAGCTAATTAATGATCCAATAGTGAAGGGTTATCATTGTCAGCCCGTTACAAAACAAATTTCTATGATGCCAACCCTCATCATTTTTCGAATTTTCAGGTAATGAATGACCCGACAGTGAAGGGTTATCACAGTCGACTCATTAGAAACTGACAATTATGGCCGATGGTGATTGCCAGTTCTGTAGAAGAAGAGACATAGCCCTTAAACAGCCTCTATACACATGGGGTGTGTTTGGTTTGAGGACAAGGGTGGATAGGATAATGGCCATCCATGGATTTTGGGATATAGATATCCACGTTGTCTGTTTGGTTGAATGGATAAGGTGAGCCATTTTTCTGTTTGGTTGGATGGATAAGATTGGATGGAACGAGAATACTTGACTAATTATATTTATAATTTAAAAATAATACCAACTATTTGTACATTAATAAATATGCACCAACACTAATCTTGTCATTATAATCACTAATTAAAAATAAAAATATTTTAATTAGCACTATACTACTCTAATTGTCACACAAAACATGCGCTAATCAATATGTGGATATCCTCATCCGCCAGATTTTTTAAGGCCATGATATCTAGCATCTACTCAGAATATTCTTTATTGTGGATATCCAGGTTCAGCTTATCTATCTAACCAAACACCATGTATCCATGGATATCCGGATATCCATTGAACCAAAAACACCCATGGGGGATGAGCCTAGACGGATTCAAAGGAGGTAAAAAGGTAAGCTGGCACCTAGACTACCGGTGTTAGTCCCACACATTTTACCTATTTGACCTTCTAGACCCACGCATTTACATCTTGTGCCCTTACAGCCTTGTTGACTGTTGCCTTGTCCATTGCACTACTCTGTTCGTTTGTCTTATAATCCGTACTTTTTCAGCGAACGAACAATATTTTTCTCTTACAACAAATCAACCAACAACACTTTCAGTCATGACTTATCAGTCAAACGAACGGAGCCTTAACTCACAAAAGGTGGCCCATGACATCGCATCCCGTCATATGGCCATGGCCAAGGCCAGGGGCGCGTGCCGCGCGTGTGGCTCCCCAAAACTTCCCTTCTCAACTTGCCTATAGAAACACACACTAGCTTCCTATTGAAATTAAGCACTTTACTATTGGGTTTCTCATTAGATACTAATCCCCTCCCACTTAGTACTAATTATGTGCCTTTGAAATTCTTTGATTAATTAGTAGACTAAATAGGACAAAACCCAATTAATCCAACATAAACATGGTCCGCACCGCATTATTTTTTATTTTATTAGATTAGAGTTCCAAAGAGCCAAAATGGCTCCCCTGTCCATTAGCAGTGCATCTTGAGAAGGTTCCAAACTGTTGCATAAATATTTTCAGACTTAATACATTACATCATTGGACAACCTAATAATTAGTAGAGACGAGAAACGGCGGCACACATTCACCCAAATGCATGACGACGTGCCCATCATTGTGTATTTAGCCATATAAATAATATACTGTAGCAAGAGGTGGAGACAATACGGACCGTCGATTGCTGAATCGGACGGCCAGGGAATTCGGGCGACGTGGGCACCCTGAGCGACAGTCAAACCTTCATGCTTTGATATATAGAAAAGAGAATGCCTTAAACCCGCTATTCCCCAGTATGGTAGCTATGATACAAGCATAACAACTATAGTGGTTTGTCATGTGCAAATAAATCCTGGCAGATTGCGTTGCACGCCAGCAGATGAGGTCAGCCCTTCCATCGGTGGCCGCAGCTGGGGTTGCAGCAGACGAAGAAGAGCGTCATGCCGTCCTCGCCTCTCGTCGTCGCCTGCACCGTTCACCGCCCATGCATCAGCACACAGCACACAGCACTCATGTTGTTCGAGGCCACCGAACCGATCACTGAAGATTAATTAATCAATAAAACTGACATCCATGCATGAGCCCATGACCCTGCAGACCTGGAAGAAGACGGCCTCGCCGTGGCCGCAGGCGGCGCAGCGGACGGACTTGGTGCGCGGCAGCGTCGGGTCGGAGGCCACGTCCTCGAACAGCACCTGCGTGAGCTCGCTGGTGGCGTGGTCCACCACGTTCCGGTACACGCAGTTGCTGTCCGCCACCTCCTGATGCTCGCAGTTCCTGCAGGTGTAGAGAAGCACCTTGTTCTGCCTGTCCTCCTTGGGATACAGTATGCTGTTGCTGCATTGCATTGCATTGCATCAAAGAAACAGAACGACTCTGTTCATGAATCAAAGTAGAGTACTCAAGAAACTGGATGAGCATATACCGATCAATCGACCACCAGCTCACCATTCACGGCAGAACCTCATGGTGCTCATGGCTGCTGCTCCTGCAGCCTGCTGTCAGCTCCCCTGCTCTCACTGTTTCAGTGACCCGTAACTGATTCCAAGTGGCAGAGGCAATTGGGAAGCACTGATGTTATTTATTCTCTGATATAAGCAGAGATATCAGAGATGTGTAATTAAGGAGCAAGTATTTGCTGGAGGCATTTGCTTTTACAAAAATAATAATTCGCAGAATCTTCTTACTCACCTGATCCTGAACCTGGTAGAAGAGGGTAGAAGAGAAGTCGCCAGAGAGGGGCGTTCTGGACTTCTTGTCATTGTACTCAGTCGAGCTCTCTTGTCGCGTCCTTTCTAGCTTTTCTTTTCGATTCTCTTTTTTTTTTTCGATTTTACTACTGCAAGAGTGCTCAGTTACCTATCCTATATTATAATATAATTCTTGGACCTGATCCATTTATCTTGGGTTGTTCTCCCTTGCTTCTGGAGTGGTGGTATGGATGTCAGTATTGAGTAATATTTATTGCTAGTCCTAAACTCCAACGCTTGCCGTCTCAAAAAAAAAAAAAAAACTGCAACGCTTGTGGCATCTGTGTTCTAACTCTTGGTTTTTTTTAATAATTTGAGTCCTCAAACTTGTATTGCGGTATCGATCATTTGGATCCTAGATTCTTAAATTTTGATATTTGGATCCCTAAGCTTGTATATATAGCGGTGTCATCTAGGGTTCTGAAAAGTTGCATAACGTGGCATGCTAATTGTGTGTTAACGGGCAAGTTCAGTGATCTGGATGGTACCAATGTATAAGTTTAGGGCCCGGACATAAATATCAGGAGTTCGAAACCAGAGTGACAGTCATACTAGCTTAGAAACTCAAAGTTGGAGACCCAGAATGACGGCATCTTTCTCTGTAAAGTATGTCATGTCTTTTGTTTTATCCTATTATGTATTAATAAAAATCAGCAAAACTCCTGCCAACTTCCACGGAGAAAAACTTGACTTATGTTTTTTTTTAAACATGTAATCAGTATCAATGTTAGGGGCTGTTTGGGAGGACTCTTTGGAATTGATTCTCTATGAGAATCGCTCCTCCTCCACTAAATAGCTAAATCTCGCACAGATTCAGGTGGAAGTCAGGCAAGAATTACCCCTCCATTTACACTGGAATGT